ACCTTGCTGGTGAAGCTGCAGTCACCACCTTGCTGTGAAGCTAGCAGCTCCACCTTGCTGGTGACAGCTAGCCGTCCACCTTGCTGGTGAACTGCAGCAATCCTTGCTGGTGAAGCTGCAGCACCACCTATGCTGGTGAATGCTGTCAGCACCACCTGCAGTGAAGCTGCAGCACACCTTGCTGGTGAAAGCAGCAGTACCACCTTGCAGTGAAGCTGCAGTTACCACTTGCTGGTGAAGCTGCAGCTACCATTGCTGGTGAAGCTGCAGTACCACCTTGCATGGTGAGCTGCAGCACCACCTTGCGTGAATAGCTGCAGCACCACCTTGCTGGTGAAGCTGCAGTCACCACTGCTGGTGAAGCTGCAGCACCACCTTGCTGGTGACGCTGCAGTACCACTTGCTGTCTGAAGCTGCATGCTACCACCTTGCTGTGAAGCTGCAAACACCACCATTGCTGAGTGAAGCCAGCACCACCTTGCTGTGAAGCTGCAGCACACCTTGCTGGTAAGCTAGCAGACCACTTGCTGTGAAGCTGCAGCTCACCTTGCTGGGAAGTATGCAGACCATCTTGACTGGTGAAGCTTGCAGCTACACACTTGCATGTGAAGCTGCAGCACCACCTTTGCTGGTGAGCTGCAGCACCACCTTGCTGTGAAGCTGCAGACACCTTGCAGGTGAAGCTGCAGTACCACTTGTGGTGAAGCAGCAGCTCACCTTGCATGAAGCTGCAGCTCCACCTTGCTGGATAGCTGCAGACCACCTGTCAGGTGAAGCTGCAGAACCACCTTGCTGGAAGCTGCAGCACACCATTTCTGGATGAAGCTGCAGCACCACCTTGCTGTGACTGCAGCACCACTATGGGTGAAGCATGCAGCACCACCTTGCTGGTGAAGCTGCAGCACCACTTGCTGGTGAAGCTGCAGCACACTTGCTTGAAGCTGCAGCACCACCTGCATGATTAAGCTGCAGCACCACCTGCTGGTGAAGCTGCAGCACCACCTTGCATGGAAGACTAGCAGCACCACCTTGCTGGTGAAGCTGCAGCACCACCTTGCTGGTGAAGCTGCAGCACCACCTTGCTGGTGAAGCTGCAGCACCACCTTGCTGGTGAAGCTGCAGCACCACCTTGCTGGTGAAGCTGCAGCACCACCTTGCTGGTGAAGCTGCAGCACCACCTTGCTGGTGAAGCCTGCAGCACCACCTTGCTGGTGAAGCTTGCAGCACCACCTTGCTGGTGAAGCTTGCAGCACCACCTTGCTGGTGAAGCTGCAGCACCACCTTGCTGGTGAAGCTGCAGCACCACCTTGCTGGTGAAGCTGCAGCACCACCTTGCTGGTGAAGCTGCAGCACCACCTTGCTGGTGAAGCTGCAGCACCACCTTGCTGGTAAAGCTGCAGCTCCACCTTGCTGGTGAAGCTGCAGCACCACCTTGCTGGTGAAGCTGCAGCACCACCTTCCTGGTAAAGCTGCAACATTGACACCCTCCGAAAGTGAAGTTGACACAGATGAAACATGTGTCCTCAGGCTTTATATTCACCAGACCAGTTTATAATATAAGCCTGATCTGGAATCATTATTACCGTACTTATATCTTCCCTTCTTTTACTGGCTTTTGATTTGTTAGATAAATTATACCACTGACTGTCTTCATACAGTGAGCTTACCTGCTTTGATCTGTTTATTTATGTGATTTACCAGGGGAGTGTTAAGTTGATGACACATGAATGTAGGCGGACGTATATTGTCATTGAATGTTGCGTGTCATTGTTAAGAATATTCACGCGTCTGAGCGAGGTCACACAAACTGTACTGAGTTACACCGATGTCGTTATTACTACCGAAACATTGACATATTGTACAGACACCAGAATGTTGACAGATTGTTTTCCATGTAATCACTAGCGCCTAGGGGCCTTACGTGTATGATATCCCCTTTGTCTGAACTGCTCAAGGTGAACACTGAGTCCAGCCTTCCTGGGTCATTGAGCATCGTGTTTGAGCCACTACTTACGTACTGGCTCAAGCAACGTGCTCATTGGAGAAGGCAAATATAGATACTCAAAAATCCTGGAAAAAGGAATTAATGTATTTTTTTATGGATTCCATCACACGCTGGTTTACTCCATGATAAACCTTAAAAAAACGTACCCTGAAGGAAAATATAGACTATAACTTTGGAGTATCTGTGTCTAATATTAGGAATAATGTTAGGAGAGTATTAAATAATGAAACTGAATGTTATAGGAATGCAGTTAGAAGCCTGAGTAGATCTATAACCCACTATGATAACATGAACGCCGATAAGTAGCACGTTTCTGGAGCAACTTGCAATGTGAACAGACTGATGTTGTAGTAGCCAGACTTAGGCTTGGCTACAAGTTCCTCCGGCAGCTCGACACACACACACATGATGATCAAACTAAATGCACAGTATGTGGTGCGACCTTTGGTCACTATCTTGAACACTGTGTGCTTAATTATCCAGTTATTGAGGAATATAGATAGAATAATAACCTGTGTGATGTCAAGATACCTTATTAATGAAAATAAAATGTCAGACATATTAAGCAAATTTCCTAAATTTGTTCGATACAGACAAGTGAACTGTAGATATAAATCCAAATGTACACCTGTTAACTCTTTTGGGTCCTAGTTCCTGGGTGTTTTGTGTTTCGTTGTTTACCTTGTAGAATGTACGAGGTTTTGTTATTTACCTTGTAGAATGTACGAGGTTTCGTTGTTTACCTTGTAGAATGTACGAGGTTTTGTTATTTGCCTTGTAGAATGTGCGAGGTTTCGTTGTTTACCTTGTAGAATGTACGAGGTTTTGTTATTTACCTTGTAGAATGTACGAGGTTTCGTTGTTTACCTTGTAGAAATGTACGAGGTTTTGTTATTTACCTTGTAGAATGTGCGAGGTTTCGTTGTTTACCTTGTAGAATGTACGAGGTTTTGTTATTTGCCTTGTAGAATGTGCGAGGTTTCGTTGTTTACCTTGTAGAATGTACGAGGTTTTGTTATTTACCTTGTAGAATGTACGAGGTTTTGTTATTTACCTTGTAGAATGTACGAGGTTTCGTTGTTTATCTTGTAGAATGTACGCGGTTTCGTTGTTTACCTTGTAGAATGTACGAAGTTTCGCTGTTTACCTTGTAGAATGTACGAGGTTTAGTTGTTTACTTTGTAGAATGTACGAGGTTTCGTTGTTTACCTTGTAGAATGTACGAGGTTTCGTTGTTTACTTTGTAGAATGTACGAGGTTTCGTTGTTTGCCTTGTAGAATGGATGAGGTTTCGTTGTTTACCTTGTAGAATGGACGAGGTTTCCTTGTTTACCTTGTAGAATATACGAGGTTTCGTTGTTTACTTTGTAGAATGTACGAGGTTTCGTTGTTTACCTTGTAGAATGTACGAGGTTTCGTTGTTTACCTTGTAGAATGTACGAGGTTTCGTTGTTTACCTTGTAGAATGTACGAAGTTTCGTTGTTTACCTTGTAGAATGTACGAAGTTTCGTTGTTTACCTTGTAGAATGTACGAAGTTTCGTTGTTTACCTTGTAGAATGCACGAAGTTTTGTTGTTTACCTTGTAGAATGTACGAGGTTTCGTTAGTTACCTTGTAGAATGTACGAGGTTTCGTTGTTTACCTTGTAGAATGTTCGAGGTTTCGTTGTTTACCTTTTAGAATGTACGAGGTTTCGTTATTTACCTTGTAGAATGTACGAGGTTTTGTTGTTTACCTTGTAGAATGTACGAGGTTTCGTCAGTTACCTTGTAGAATGTTCGAGGTTTCGTTGTTAACCTTGTAGAATGTACGAGGTTTCGTTGTTTACCTTGTAGAATGTACGAGGTTTCGTTAGTTACCTTGTAGAATGTACGAGGTTTCGTTGTTTACCTTGTAGAATGTTCGAGGTTTCGTTGTTTACCTTGTAGAATGTACGAGGTTTCGTTAGTTACCTTGCAGAATGTTCGAGGCTTCGTTGTTTACCTTGTAGAATGTACGAGGTTTCGTTGTTTATCTTGCAGAATGTTCGAGGTTTCGTTGTTTACCTTGTAGAATGTTTACCCCATGTTCGTGTCTGTTCGGTTGTTCATTTACATCCAGCTTTTCTGGTTCAATTTGGAAATGCAGGGCGTGGATCATTTAATGAGTATATAGTTCCACTCAGTTTGCATCCCCGGGAAATCAAGGTATGCACGGTCACAGTAGTGAGCTGGTAAACAGCAGGCTTCCTGGGTGATACTACTAACCTCTTGGCAAATGGGTGTGAAAAGGGGAAACCTCTTAAATGTTTTGCACTCTGGCAGGGCTGCTTATCTTTTCTTTCTGCCTGATGAATGTGTTAAGATAATAGGTAAATCTTTCTTGTAAGAATAAAAGAGGGACAATACCGTGACTTGGACCATTAACTTATCACACAGAAGTGGGTAATATTTCCTTTTCCAACCATGGAGGCGTGGTTTGAGACCGCGTCGTGGGCAAGTTGGGAATTATAGCCGTGATACATTACTTGGGATCATACATAACCTGTTAACCTGTAGTCGATTCCGGGTGTCATCGAACCCCGTGGTCCGGTCCAGGCGTGGCTGAAGGCCTGATCGATCAGGCTCTTGGTGCTAGCAGCATGCAGTCCAATGTAGGCACCACACTCCGGCAAATGAAACTTATCAAATTCCCTTTTGATGACAGCTAGGGATCTGTTCTCTACATCTGTGATACATCTACGGCACATATTACATACCCTGAGGATATATCTGTTATACATATCCTTGACATACATATGATACATTGCATTGGGACATGTACGATATATAGCCTGGAGAATGGAGATACATAACTGGCAGTAAATTTGATATATAGCTTGGATATGCATTAGCCTAACTGTTCCTTACTACGTGTTGATATTCCGACGGAGAATAATAGGTTATTGATTTTCTAAGACAGAATCCGCAGGAAGACGTAATGAAGATACTAACAAGCTTATTAACTTTGCAGGTGTGAGAAGATGCGGTGGGTTGGAGGTTGGGCGTGGCGTGTGGGCGGGGCTGTGGGCGTGATTTGGCTGGTGGGCGTGGCACTACTGGCACCCACTGGACCACCAACCACCAGTGACCCGCGACTCTCTCAGCGCCTCCAGCGGGCTGTCAACGACCTTGATCTTCTCAAGAAGCAGAATGATGACATCAGACAAGTGCTTCACGAATTTACTAAGTGTGTATTACAGGTCAATGTTTGTTATGACAGTCAGACCACTGGTCATCCCCTCCTCCACCCTCACTCTAGTAGCAGTAATAAATGTAATAATAACTAAAAGTAGAAGCAGTAGTTATAAACAGAAAAATAACTTGGACACCTACATCTCCAGGGAGGAGGTATGTATGTCTTCATAATTTACAAATTATCCAAACTTCAGAACACCCGTGAATTAACCTGATTCTTTTTTCTCCTTCTCCCTCTTCTCCTTTCCTTATTCCTCTCTCTTCTGCCTTGGGTGTTTGCTTGTTTTACCCCCCCTGTGTTTTTGTTCCTACTCTGTGCGCCTCTACGCTCTCCTGCAGTGCTCTCATTTATGAAGTTTCCTGCTATCAATATCTGTCCCACGATCCCCTCAGCTGCTGGGTTAAGCCCTGGCTCTATTTCTACAACTGAGAACATTCCTCTTCGTCTGTCCCGTCTTCCCCGCTCATCCCATTGGGATCTTACCTGCACTTGTTCGTTCGTTCGTTCGCCTGTGCTTCTTGTAGATCAGAAACTGACCTTGCAGTGTGTAGTCACAGTAGCTCATACTCTCGTCATCACAGTCTCCCTACGATTCCCGTTGGAGAGGGGAACCTTTACCTGTTCGACGATGTTCGCACTTCGTGTTAAGATCAAACCAGCCAGTGGTTTTATAAATGATTCCACTAAACTATCACTTGCTGCCGCTATAAAACCTGCCTAAACTTAAATTCACAGCGATCCACTCACCAAGGACCCTTTATTGTCGTCTGCACCGACACAATGAACAGCTAAACTTATGGACGACACTGGCAATGAATGCATTGCGAACCGACAATTCAAAAATATCACCGTCTCCCTCCTTGCTGGCGAAACGTTAAACAATTGGATAAGATAATCACATCCTTACCAACGGATGAACTGAAGACCTCAATCAAAGAACAGAACACCTGGACCTCTATAGACACGAATTCCCAATGCCTCATCTATGATCAAAATCACCTTCTCAAACATAGATATGGCTACCCAAGCGCTCTCTAATGGACTGAATATCTCATATTACCACATACATCCATGCCACATAGAACCTGAACGTTTCGCCCCTGTCTCTCCCTGTTGGAACTGTTACTCTTATCAACATTCAACCAAGGACTGTCCCATTAAAGACAAAAAGATCTGTTCTACTTGTGGAAAAGGTCATGACTTCAAAGCTGCACCACCACCGATGCCACTCCAACATGTCTTAACTGCAAGGGTACACATCATACCTTTGCAGCCGAATGCCCACTACGAAAAGAAGTAATGTCGAAAAACATTAAAGAAGAAACCAAGAAGAATAGCCCCAAATCGCCGACATATGCCGCCATTTCAAAACTCCAGTCGGACACCACCGGAATTCTACAAACCACACTGCAGTCATCTTTGTCCAGCAATTCCCTCTCTGCACTCCCTGATGCTGCTCCTTCTAAGGTGCTGTGTTGCATAATGTATGCACACCTTGCAAATGCAGCAAACCCAGGCACATTCAACACTACAATTAACGAATTATTCTGTCTTAACAACATGCCGTCATTCAACTTCCCTGACTCGTCAACATCACAGGACTTCCTTAAGATTATCCCAAAGCCACTGGATGGCGAAACGTCTACAATAAAAATAACCAGATGTTGCACACGTGTCTTAACTTTCATTTTGTCGGTGTTGTATACCTTTCTTGCACAAAGCTTTGTAGACAATGCAAGATACCTCCCATGAAATGTATTGGTGCAATGAGTACACTAGCTTTGGTGAGTTTCGAGAGTCTTTCTACTTGTGAAAGTTTGTCTGGACTGCCTCCAAGTGAGTCGCCTACCCTGGCAAGCTCTGTTGACACTGAGCTCTGAAGTCGGTACCTCAGCCTTACAAGTGGCTTATAGGACAGATTTTCATAAATGACTGATGCTGCAAGAAATCTCGCCTGCATGCACGTTTAACCCTTTGAGGGTCGACAGGCCCTCTCCGAAACTCGTTCTCAGGGTCGGCCAAATTTAAAAAAAAAAATTATTTTCTCTTATGAAAAGATAGAGAATCTTTTCCCGATCATAAGGACACCAAAAGTTTGAAATTTGATGGAAAACTTACGGAATTATGCTCTCGCAAAGTTAGCGGTCTCGGCGATGTTTACGCATCGGCGATTTTGCCCACTTTGAGCCCCATTTTCGGCCAATTCCACTGTACTAGTCGACAAAAAACATGAATATTTCGCTAGAACTCCATTTTTTCTATCGAATGGGTGCAAGAAACCACCCATTTATGAAATTCAACTATCCAGTACAGTGGTCAGAATTTAGCAATTTTGCCAATTTCACACAAATTTCAAAAGATGCCAATTTCCGAATAGGGTCCAGAATAAACAAGAAAGACATTCCTGGCACTAAAATGACATTTCCTCTGGTCATTAGTCACGTCTCAAGGCCCCTCTTATATTATTTTGCTTTCCACTTTGAATTTTTATTCTCACAAAAAATATAAGATTTACTGTTATGCAGACTACTGCATTAGTGTAAAAAATGGTATAAATATTATTGGTGCACTTGAGAAAGAATATTAGACTCACCAGTTGACGTGTATTGCACGCTTGGCACGATTTGTTTACTTTTGAAATTTGGTAAAAATCGAACATTTCTGCTACTTTGAGCTCAATTTCAAGGTACCTTTCATTGTAAAACCAGTCAAAATCATCTCAATTTCTGTAATATGTCTTCCATTCTATAAAGTGAGACCAAGAAAACTAGAATACAACAATAAATACCATACGAAAATACAGTGCAAAGTCGCTGTTTTATTCCAAAAAAATGGTAAAAGTTTTTTTTTTCTCATTATGCACTGTGTGCTGCAGGATTTTTTTTAGACTGTGCACACTGACCACATAGACCCATTCTTTCATATGAAGGCCTACCAGCTTTCTCCCACTAGATTTGAGGGTGCTAGAATTTAGGCGTACTAGTACGTCAAAAACCCTGGATCGTAAGCCGTACTAGTACGTCCGAAACCCTCAAAGGGTTAAAGGAATAACTTACTTGGTGATGTAGAATCTATTCTGGTCTTCAACCTCCCTAAGCTTTTAGTCCCTCTGGACTTGCCCTCAGAACCACGTGCAACCGGGAGCCTTAATTCCTGCAATATTCAATTGATATTAGTGACCTGCCTGTACCTCACAAATTCCTATTTCCAAGGGGGGTGAATCCCCTAGAATAACTATGCAGAAAGTGACACTAACTTCTAGGTTGACAAGAGACAAGGTACGTGCTGGTCATGAACTGCCGGCTGCACAAAGGCCTACACCTCAACTTACTCGTAACTTTCCCCAGACACTGGCCAGAATCCTAAGAAAAAGTGGAGGACTTGTCTTACTGTATGGGCCTGACAGAGGAGGACATCTACGGTATGTTGAGGTGCCTCCACCAGATTTCCCCAGGTCTCATATGTGAAGACACGTGGGGGCGCCGCCTGCTGATCACGGCACGTGTTGTTCAGATGGTGTCTGGTCTTAGAAGAAAGCTCTGGCGTCTTCGAGACCCGCGCTTCGTCGTTCAAACTTGGGCTGCCAGTTCTCCCTAGCTACGTTAAGGTCTTAGGTCTACATTATTATTATCTACAGTTGCCTCAATAATCCTAATATTAGTGTACTAACAGTATAAACTACCTACTTCTTCCCTGAAGGGTAAATCTATCAATTAAGAAGTACCTTCCAACCACCTTCGCCAACCCAGGTGAGTGTGTTTGTGTTTTGGGTGGGTGTAAGGGCCCTCGAACGGTGTGTTTTTTCCCGTTGGGACTTCTTGGACCGAATAAGTTCCAACACTATTCCTGGAGCCCAGCCATGGACCAGGTTTCAAAATTTTCCCTTCATATATAAGGGGAATTACCAACACAGGAGGGATATGGGTGGTTTTACTTTTGTGTACAAGGCCAACATTTGTCAAAGAACTACACTTGGCTCCACTCCGAGGACGGTGAGAAGCGAGCTTCTACACCACATGACAGTCAGTGTGACTGTACCTGTCTCCAGAACATCACTTCATCTGAGAACATTTATTCCCAGGATGACTCTTGAGTCTGGAACATGTTCATACAGCATAATATCAACGAAATAAAGTCAGTTGATTAAATGAAAATGCTGGCCCACAGATGGCTCCAACTTTATTCTGTTCTCTACTTGTATGTCTCATAACAATAAAAAGGCTTTTAAATGAGCTGTTGTAGGTAACAGCTTGTAAATAAAGTTAGGACTCTAACCTAACCTTATGTAAAACCCTGTGTAAATAAAAAAAAAGACTCCTATCAATCTTCAAGAGGGAATGGGATAAGTTTTACAAGCTAGTTACTTGTTGAAAATTTTTAATTTTCCTAAATTCAGCATGTGTAAATATGAATAATATAATAATTGTGTATTAAAATGTGATGCTGATTTGACCCTTCAAGAAATTTTGTGTGGAAGAGGGTGTGCAGAGACTCAATAATACAGGGAGATGCCATAGTGAATTAAGGTGTGAGCATTGGTCTGTTAATAGTGAAATTTAATCTGGTGTCATCAAGGCTATAATTGGGCATTTCGATCTGAATTTGTAATAGAAACCCGTGTTAATGTCCCCTGCTGAAGAAATGGGACAGGAAATTTGTGGACCTCCAGAATTAAGTATGGATGGTGAAAAATAAGGAGACTACACCATCACTCACACAGGGAAGTGCGCCGTTGTCCTTTCATTTAGATTTCTCACTGGCCAGTGTAGGTTTCTGTATGCCAGGTAGGCGTTGTGGTGTGATCCAACTAGAGTAATTATATGGTAAGTGGTAATACGAATTTCTTTTCTAATAACACTATTGTATTATATGTACTCACCTAATTGTGGTTGCAGGGGTCGAGACTCAGCTCCTGGCCCTGCCTCTTCATTGAGTGCTACTAGGTCCTCTCTCTCCCTGCTCCATGAGCTTTATCATACCTCATCTTAAAG